GCCAATTTCGCTACTCGAGGACTATTACTAATAGTCCTCTAGTAGCGTAGCCAATTAAAATGCAGGATTTGCATTAGTCCACTAGTTGGGTGATACTACTACTACTATCCCGCATCGGTTTGATTTTGTTTTCTGGATATAAATATCGGTCATCAGCGTAAAACCCAGACTGCGGACTGACCGGGGTGGGTTAAAATGCAGACTGAGAGTAAATTGCAGACTGTACTAAGACCAAGGGTAAAATGCAGACTACAGACTACAGACTACAGACTACAGACTACAGACTACAGACTACAGACTACAGACTACAGACTACAGACTACAGACTTTTTAAAAGTATATCGTGTTATTTGTATTATCGGGTGCTGACCGTAAAAAGGGTTGTTCAGGCTAATCGGAGCCTGAACATTACTTTGGTTAGATTGAATATCACTCAGGTTTGCTTAAATAATGCTCCAGTTAGCCTGTTTACGGTTTAATAGCTCTTGATGATGAAAACGACCTACAGTCTAACCTGGTCTGCAGTCTGCATTTTAACCCTGGTCCGAAGTTTACACTCACCGATAATGAAATTGCTTTCGGACCAGCATCCGCCATCGCATCAGTGGAGCCTTACAAACGTTACCTTTCTCTCCACTCGCTACAGCAAAAGAAATTTGAATTTTGGTTCTAGATTACTGCGCCAAACCTGTGGCGTTTTCATGTCTCTCAAGGCATTGTGGTATAGATAAGCGCTGTAATGTAACTGGACAGCGTCAAACCGCGCGAAAACTGAGACACAAACAAATATGGCCGCTTAGTTGGCCCTTCAAACGAGCCAAGTAAAATTTTCCCACTACATCCCAGCTTTAAACTGAAGCGTGGCATTTTGATGAAAAGCCATTTAAAATCGGGATGCCTTCTATCGTGACCTACAGAGTTTTCCAATGCTTCGAGACTCAGATCGATAGAGTGACCGACTTCTTATTAGCAGCTAACATAATGACACATGTATCTATCTGAGAATTTTTTGCCAAGCCGAGAAAAGTTGGATTGAAAGCAAGGGGAAATGGATTGCGATGGATCTACTACGGACGACGATTCGACAGAAGACGAAGAAGATACGAAAACAGCTGATGATAATACAAACAACTGGAGCTCTAAAATGAGATGGTAAGTTAACCTAAGTTGTGCTAAATGATGTTTTCAACTCGTATTGAATTTTAATTCATTGAAAGTATGTGATGGAAAAAGAAACCCGTTCATTTATAAAAATTAAGCTTATTCATTTCATTGTGCATTTCACTGTGGGTCCCGTTGTATTCAGAGCCATCATATATCTTTGAGTATTTTAATTTTTTTTTGAAATGCAGGGGCGGATTTAAGAGTTTTTTATAGGGAAACGGGGGAGGTCCAAACTTTGGTTCAGAAACACTGTGGAAGCCTTTTTGGTGGAAAATAACTTCTTTAACCACAGTCACAGTTGTATGTTATAATTGTAATTTAACATCAGTTTCACTGGCTCTTAAGGTCTACATGAATTCTGCTCATAAAGGTGCACCATTTGCCAGGGTGCATTCTGCAAGACTTCCACACCAAAAAAATGCCAAGGCTTTTTAAATTCCTCGCCAACAATTGTGGCTTCACTGCTCACTGTTAAAAGCTTAGCCACGAAAAAAGGAAAAAACCCTCTGGTACCCAGGGTACTAAGCGCCTGGCAAGCAGCCATTGGGAAACGTTGGACTCAAACGGATCATATACATGTAAGATACCCGTTATTCAGTATGGGATGAAATGGTGATGAAAGGAAGTTAAGAAGCCGTAGTTATCACACCAAGCCGCCTTACACAGTTAAGCATTTATACACTAGCACCAACAAATATAAATGAGCACACTGCTGTATGCCAAAAACTTCAATCCCATGCCTGTATGCTGCAAAATTTTAAGGTCATGCCGAAAATCTTCAGCATATTCCATACTGAATGCACCCTGGACCATTTGAATATTCTCCTAAGCCATCCTGATATGTCTAGATTCTTCACAAGCCAGAGAATTAACACTTAGCTTTGGCAGAACTAACAGGGAGTGTATACCATTATAAGCAAAAGATGTATGTTTGGATATTTATCCTCATCAGCATAATTTACACACTCAATAAGATTTCCCAGTAGTGGTAAAGCTGGTGTGCACTGTTTCCCTTTTACCAAGGAAGAGATTGCGCAGTAGAGGAGGGTGTAGGCAGATCCTGTTGTAAATATTTTTGCTTTTCTGCTAAATTATTTTGATGATTGTCATGCTTTACAATTGTAAATGGAACCAAGGCAAAATTTCGACTCCAGCTCTGTTATTGTCACTGAATCTTAAATTCGTTTCTACCAGTAAATGATCTATAAAAGGTATGACAACATTAACGTAATAATGCATTTCCAGGTTTACCCTACACTGTAGGTGTACATACAATGTTCCTACAGGGTTGTAGCTAAGAAAATACTCTTCTGGCTAAGATTTTAATTGAGCCAGTCACCATTTTTGGTGAGAGACTTGGAACAAAGTTTTGGTCCCCAACCTTTCGCAACACACCTTGAACCCAAAAACTGCTCATTGGCCTTTACAGAGTGATCTTCCGTCAAAATCCAGCTGGTGATATCTTCTTTATCAGCCGGCGAATTTCGCCAGCAGTCAGCACTTAGCAACATCCCTATTCCTGTGTGTCTGCCTCTCAGTGATTCCTGGCATTGAGACTGTAGCAAAAATCTTTTCAGCCAGTCAGTCTAGAGGTGTCTTCAAACCATTCATGGCATTCCTCTTCTGTGTTTGACCTCACCATGGTAACAGCTTCGATATTGTAGTCAAACATCTAATAAGTTTGGAAAACATCTTGATAATTCATCTGAAGCTTGGCTGCAATGGTTTTGAGTGTTTCTAGGCAATTCTTGATGATCAAAAGTGTTAAAATGACCAGCCGAAAGAACAAGGTTAATGGCCAAGTTGTCATCAGACCATTAGAAGACACTCCAAACAATTACATCGATTTCTTGAATTTACCTTGAGGTTAGGCTAGTGGCAAAGTTCAAGGCAAATTTTGTTTAAAAAACGACAACCACAAAACCAGTTTCACAGTGATAAGTGATACCAATTCATACATTCAATGTCAAACAAATAGTACAAAAAAGAAAGATTTGATAGAGAGTGTCCAAATCCCCCAGACGCTCCCCCTGGATCCGCCACTGAAATGTTTTAATATAGATCTTTGATCATCATTTTTTTAATGATTAATGTCCATAGTCTGTTCTTCTACATGTATCTTTGTCACAACAGTCCAAACAATCTCAAGCTTGAAGAGAAACGCAATGAAGCAAGACGTTCAGACTCAGAAGGTGAAGTATCATGAAAAAGGACATGATAATTGTATCTAGTTCAAGTTATGCACCTATCATTGTCAAGCATAAGGAGGAGGGGGGGGGGGGGGGGGGGGGGGTGGATCCCTACCCCAAGGACAACATGATCGGTAAAGTGTCAAAATTTTCCACCCTGGGGTAAAGGAAAACTCATAAATATGTCAACATGCAGAGAATTGTCAGGTTCGGAACGCAAAAACATGTACAAAGTGAACGCTTTTTCCCTTCAATTATACGCACAAGTATAGACAAACTATGAATGGTCTGTATAAAAGGATGAAGGAAAAAATAGATTCACTCACCTGCCCATGATTTTTTTCCCAAAATGATTTCTATCAGGGCCTCACAGCTCCCAGTGACTTCTATTTACAAGATGTAGATGGCTCATCACCAGACTCTCGGTCTTCGAAGATGGCAACAGTGTCAAATTCCCTACCCAGGGGACATCACGTGTAATCGAAATCCCTACTCATTGGACTGACTTCACAATCAAATTCCCATGGGTAGCCCCCCTTCTCCTCTCTGGCTGGATATTGAAAGGCGTAAATTATATGCATCAAAGAGTTTTACAGTAAATTGAAGAAGTCACAGTGCCCTGATAATAAAATGTGCTGGACTCTGGGTTTTGAGCATTCCATGTTTGGCCCTGGCAGGTCAAGGATGTTGTTTGCGTTCTTGGGTAATATACTTCACTCTCAAAGTGCTTCTTTTTAGCCAGGTGTATAAATTAAAACGGTAAGGGAAATTTGGATGCTGGATGTAATCCTGCAGTCAGATGGACTACTTTACTTAGTATAACAAAGTTAAGGTACACTGTAGTCCCAAGAAATAACTCATTTTCACATCACTCTCTAATGATGTAGACTAATATATGTAGAAAGTATTTCTATTTTTATGTTGATAAAATAGTAATTGAAAATTGACATAAATTATATTTTAACTAATTAATGCATTTATAGTGGAACTCCTTGTTACGTCACCTTGTTATTACGGCCATCTTTTTTTGTCCGAGTGAACACTCATACATTTTCTTACAAAAAAAAAAAAAAAAAAAAAANTTACAAAAAAAAAAAAAAAAAACCATTGATGTGGCCACCTTGTTAACAAGGCCAGCAGCCACATTCTGAAATCCCAACCTGTATAATCCTTATTTTACCCTGTTTCTACAGCCACTCAAACCAGCTACAATGTATATAAACACATTCAACTTTCTATTGTTAATATTTTACATATAATCACATGCTAATTCAAGTTTCAATTTGTATTTAATTATACCTGCATTCCAGATGCTCATTAAAGAACAGTTGTCTAGACCAGTCATGAGGTTTGACCCTACCCCATTAATGCGGCCACCCTGTTAATATGGCCAAATTTTTCTGGCCTGTTGGTGACCATATTAACATGGTTCCACTGTAGGTAAGATGTGCTCTTACAATTAAAAGTCTCTGACAATCTGTTTCTTGTGTTTAATTATGTCAAGTGTGGCACAAGGGGCACAGTTGTCTGGCTCCATACAGCGGAGATAATGAGTATTATGAAGCTATAATCAACTCTATCCATGATACCTCCAATGGACACAGAGAAGCTGTTGTCACCTTCATTGGGTAAGGTTAACGTAAAGAAAACTAATCCAAGTAGGGTGGAATCATGTATATGGCAAATGGACCCAGTTAGGTTCAGGACTGTCATTAAGTTTCCAGTTACCTGTAGCCTCATTCTCCACACCTGTAACAAACTTGTTACTAAAGTGGTTGAATTCTATCAACAACAGGCAATTTCACCCGTAGCTTGATTGTAGGATGCTTGATCAGCATTCAGAAAGGTCATACTGTTACATGTAGATTAGACTCACAATGAAAGATTAACTTTGAATTTTTTAGAAAATACACTATCTTGTGTTCTCAGCAATCCATTGTTTTTAGAGATGATTGAATATTATATATATACAGTGGACATGGCCTTGGTTCATATATTCATTTAAGTTTAATGTATTCTTTTGCTGTATGATATTCTCTGTATTATGCAAAATAAAATGGTGGTTGTTTTTTTGTTGGTTTGTTTTATTTTACTTAAAGCTATGAATCTGAAGGAAGTGAAGTAGTTCCCGTTACGGCACTGAGAAAAACCACAACTGAACATCAAAAGAACTCAACGAAGAAAAATAGTGGTGAGTTTGTGGTCTTGCCCACAAGTGGCTTGGCTTGAATTATAATTATTTGATTTGATTTTTTTTCTTTCTTTAACCTTTGTTTTTATTTTTGCTTTCTCTCTTCTGATTTACTTTTTTTGTGGGGTGGGGGAGTGGTGAAGACAGTTAAGAATAGTTTAAACTGTCTGAAGTGAGACAACAATAAACCAGGAGTGCTTTTATCTGATTGAATATGTAATTTCAACAGAATTATTCCAATCAGTAGATCAAACTAGTGATGCATGTAGCTTTCAATCAGAAACTAAGAAAAATGGTTTCAAAATGTCTTACACTGTACAAAATGTGCTTGACACAATTCCTGTTTACTGGCTGGCAGTAATAGCACTTGAATGAATTCTTTAATTTATTTTAAATAATAAAGGAAAACATAAAACTGTCAAGGATAAACTATTTTACTATGGTCATGGTGAACTGCATCATTTTATTAACTCCTGTATGTTCCTCCTTCAACAACAGAAAACAGTTTCTTCTTTTCTCATCTGAAAGGGAATGAAGCAGAAGAGATCATGAGGTTGGTATAATTGAAGAGGTTTGTTCAAAACCATGCTAAGTGACGATTTTGTGTGAAATTGTTTTTCCCCTCAAAAGTGCCTGAATTTTTGCACGTGGTTTTCAATTTAATAGAAAAACATCAACAGGGCTGTATTTTTTTTCCGCTGGTTTGTTCTTCGTTTTCAAGAAATGATGTATACAAAAAACTCACACGTAACACGTCATGTTCTGATAGTCTTTCAACCTGAGCATATCAAATATCATTGATACCTGTGAATTCCAGGACATCTGTCAAAAAGAAAAAACTGGGAGGTAATTAATATAATTAAGATACAATACAACAATACAATACAACAATACAAAACAATACAATACAATACAATACAAGTTTATTGTATCGTGTGCTTAGCTATTCAAGTGTGACATTACGTAATGAAATGACACACCGGCTAAATTTACAGGCATTCCACATAAATGAAAAATAAATGGTGTCAAGTATGACCCTCCATACTTGTTATAACTGTTTGTGAATTATTTTGTCCAACACAGATTGAAATATGGTGAATATGATGAGGGAAGTGAAACTTGTCAAGATGAGGTGGATTCAGAGACGGAACATGGTAGGAGTAGGTTGATAAAAGAAAAAATTCGTTGGCACATAGAAAACTAAATGTTTTAGAACAACTTTTTCTTTCCTTTCTTGTTTATTCTGTGTTTTCTTTCTCAACTAGATGTCATCAGATCAGAGGTATCAATGTCTTCATCAAAAGCTAAAAAGAAAGGTATGGTACACGGTGTATTTATTGTATAGTTTTAATCAATATACATTCACAGTATTAGTTAAATCCAAATTATGTAGTAACATTATCTTAAGCCTGTGAACAAAACTTGAGTAAGACCATTCCCCTGATTTAGTATTGCAATCATGTAATTTAATAATGGTCAACAATATTAATAATCATTTTTAAGGTCATAATACTTCTAACTGATGATTATTTTATGGAGAAAGCCATACTATTCACAGATGTTTTTCAGGAGGAAGAGGGAAGGGGGTGGGGGTCCAAAGTTGCTAATTTCATGTAATTTAAAATACAATGAGCAGCAGTGAGCTACATGTACATGTATGAAAGCAAAAACTGGCACTGCATTAAATACTGGCAGCTCTAAATAAAAAGATACATACTTATTTTGTGCAAAAAAATTGCACATTTGTCAGCATTTTTATTTTGAACTTTGACATCTTGGAAGTAATATATCAAACACGAAAGACCGTGTTTGACCACATTTCCAAACACTGAGAGGAGAGTTGAAAATACGTGCTGCGTAGTATTTTTGACAAGCTTTGAGGTGTTTGGAAATGTGGTCAAACACTGTCTTGAGTGTTTGACATATCTTCTCAATAGAAACTAAAGCTAACGAGAAAATGGAGAAATAAAATCGTAAAAAATCTATGCTAATTAAGATCAGATATCCAAACACCATCGTGGCCTTATGCTCCACTCACGAAGGAGCGAAGAGGATGAGTGAGTGAGTGATCCAAACACCGTCACAGTCATGATTTTCTTTGTCTAAACTGGATGAATTATTAATGAGTTTGAGAAGTGATAGTATCTGTATGGTTGTAACTGATCTCAGTTGTACATGTACACTTACTGAATACATGTGGGGTTTTTTTTTCTTTCTTTTTTTTTAATCCTTGTAACAGGAAAATTAAATGTTTCTACCCAGCATAACAAGAGGCTACCCAAGAACAAGAACAAGAGGCTGCCTAAGATTAACAAGGAAAACCATTCCTCCATCACTGAGGAAGCGATGCTAAAATGTGGAGAAAATCCTCCTGAATCAACAAGCACATCAGCAAGGCCACAGAATATAACTTTTTCTGATGTGACTTGTAAGAAGAGTGATAGTGAAAATGAGTTTGATGATGAAATGATAGCAGATGGTAAGCTTTATGAATGAATTATAAAATAATTATAATTAATTAATTATTGCTAAAAGTAAAAGCAATAATAATACTATATAATTACTAAAAGCAATAATTATTATTGCTTTTAGTAACAAAGTTAATTATCACAGAAGATTTTCAGGAGAGCCATCAAATTAAAAGTCAATATCAAAATACAATATTTACTAGGCAACACATGACAAAGTTAATCATTGACTTTGTTATTTGCATGTATTCAGTTAAATTTGCCATCAATATTGTGAAAGAGGCATTTAGTGACTGATCTGTGAGACATGGTGATGAAGTTAATTTTCATGTGCAATCAAAACTTGAATCCACCCCAGACCGATAGTTAGACTGTGAGCAGTCTCTCTTTTGCTCGAAAATCCGTGGGAAAGAACGCAGAGCCCGGAGGGGGGGGGGGGTACTCCCAGAAAAGTTGGGTGTGGATGTTTGGCCCACTTCCCAAACCCTTACCCTACTTCTGACTAAAATCTGCGATTTTTGCTACCCTATTTTTGACCCAGCAGAAATTCCATACCCTATTTATGGCCATTGCAGCTGGCACAGTTGCCCTAAACATAAGTTATGAAGTACTTTTGTTGACGGTCTTATTGATAGCGATGGAAAAGTAGCTTCTCCTAAGAAACATACCCAATTCAAGGGTAAAGTACCAAAACCATACCCTATTTAAGACCAAAATGGCCAAAATCGATACCCTATTTATGATCAAAACGGCTGAAAAACCCTACCCTTTGGGGCCACACATACCT